GATTATATATTTGTTTCTTCATGCAGCATCTCCCTTATCTTGTTACTTTCATGGCCGCCATAAAAAAATAAAATGAAAACAATAAAATTGTTTTTCCACTTGAAAAGAAAGTTCTGCACATCTGTTCACTAGTTACAAATTAACAGTTTTTTGTTGTTGTTGTTTTTGTCTCTTTCGGTATTATTATGAAGACCGGACACATCGAGGGCTCTGCTGAACACAGAGACCCAGAAAATCCCTTCTCCAGATAATCTTAGACACTCGAAAGACATCGAACCCTCCGTTCCTCCAGGATGCGTCTGTGCGGGTTTGATATTAATACCAGTGAGTCGGTTCACATGCAGGGCAGGAGAAAATATGTTGAATTATGTACGGCGAGAAGCGAGCAGATGACATATAGATCGGAACCCAGTCGTAAAGATGGATGGAAGCAGAAAAACTAAAAGAAAAAAAACAAACAGGACACAATGGAGAAGCTGATAAAAAAAAAAGAAGCATTTAATGGAAGGAAGCAGAATGAAGAATTTGTCGCTAGAACAGACATAGAAAGCAGAAGGCAGGCTGCAGATTAAGAGTTGTGGAGAGGACAATACAACCTAAGAGAAAGAGACGGAGTGAGAGGAAAGGCTTATGAGTGAACATGCCGGCCAGGGCTCTTGGTGCATTGCAGAAGGCATTGCCATGGAAACGAATGGGGGGAAAGCGCAGGCGAGGAGGAGGGGATTAACTAGGAAGGAAGAGATCACTGCTTCACACTATTGAAGCTGGGAGCGAGGGGGCTCTGATGAGAAAGGAGGGGCATGCAGGCAAATATCGGGATATGAAGTCTCGAGGAATAGCCTCTTAATGCTTTACCACGAAGAATGTTTCAGAGTGGTGCATAAATTCATATTCAACAGTCCTTTGTCCGATCAGAAACACACTTGATGGGTCCATCTGCAATCATAAAGCAGACTTTTATGATGATGATGACGATGATCAATCAGTAAAATGGTTTATTTACGACTGAATTCTTCCTTCTTAGCTGTCGGCGATGCAACCATGTTTCACCAAGATGACGTTAAAGGTTTTATAACATATTTCTGTTTACATTACATGATCTGAAAGAAGACGAAAGTTGTTGAGTAAAAGTCAAAAGAGGAAGACCGTGCAAGGAGCAGATTTGCAAATCAACTTACAGCAGATGGAGAAAAGTTAACCCCAAAAGTACTTCAGAGTGAAACTGCTTTCCCCTCAGCAACCGGCTGCTGCCAACAAAGACTAACGTTGATTCTCCCAATAAATTTTACTACTAGTCAAGTTCAGAGTCTCCAGCTTCAAGTAAAAGATTAAAATAAAATATAGGTCATAATAAATATTTTGGAATACAAAAACATGTTTATTTGTTTGTTTGTTTGTTTTTAACTTTTTTGGAGAAAACAAAACAAAACAAATCTGGAAAAGGTTTCTAATAGGTTCAGTGCCTTGGAAAAGCATTAAAAGCATTAATGCCCTTTGAACTTTTTCACACTTTGACACATCACAACCACAAATGTCAGTGAAGTTTAGTAGAGTAAAGGTTTTAGGCTAGAGACCAACATAATGTTTTCCTTCAGAGTTCAATTCAATTCAACAATACTTTATGGGACCCTAAGGAAAAACAAATGTTTTTGAATTCAATTTTTCTCAATGGGTTGTTGTACATGGTGATGTAGCAGTCGGTATTGCAGCAGGTCTGAAGAAGCCTCTAATGGAAGACACTCTGTGCAAAGAACGATTTTTCATAAAACAAAGGATATTATGGACAACTCTGAGCAGTCTCTTACAACAATCATCTTCAGAGGAAGAGAACCAGCTTTCTTTATCTGCTTGTTAAACTTTTTGTAAGTCACTAACTGCCCCGACAGATGATGATAGAGGAGATTACACAGCAAAAGAGATTTACAGGAAATATTCGGCATCTTGCTGTAAACATTGAAAAACGTAAGTACTTCAAAACGTACATAAGTCTGAACTTGTGTGTTTAGTCTAAACTGTTGTTCAGGCAATCACTAAGATATTTATACTCCTCCGCCACCTCCACCTCCAATGATGGAAACAGTGTTTGACCTGTCTACTTTAAGGTCAAAGTCAAGAAAAGATGATTGTGAGAGTGCAATCCATCAATCATCCGTGGTGCTCTGGTGCTGCTGGCAAGCAGCCTGTAAGTTTCACAAACGGTGGACTGTTTGTTGGGTAATCACCAATCAGTGAGCCAGGTGATTGTAGAGACATCCACCTGTGTCTTGTGGTGTTTCTCACTAAATAAATCAGACTGAAGACACTTCAATCTTCTCCAGGGTCAGACTGAGGCTAAAGAGGTGCTGCAGAATCCCGTGGAGTTGCATCATTGGTTTTAATTTGTCTTCCCAGTTCTTCTCGTAGGACTGCATTCACACAGTAAAACATGGCGACGGTGGCATCAGGCGGAGGGATTCATAACTGTGAGACTCTTGGTTGGTTTGCAGCTGTGGAACATTTCTTTGGTTTTCGGATCATATAGTGCTCTGTGTAAGGTTAAAATGTTAAGACTGAGTTACCAGCAATACCATTTAAGGTTGCACGTTTTTTGAAATCTTTATTTTGGAGTAACGAAGTGCCAGGGGCTGAGTACAAATGCATTCCACACTTTATGTTTTATTCCACTTTGTGTTTTATTTTTTCTCCTACATATTATGATGTTTCTAAGTTATTTAAGTGCCCAAAGGCACCCACTTCCACTTTGTGTTGGTCCGTAACATAAAATACTAATCAAATTTATCAACGTTTGTTGACGTAGCCAATACATTTGCAACAATTTGCATGTTGTGAAATAAATTGATATATTATGATGCTCCAACATTTTTTTTTATGTTGGGGGTTTCATTATCAACTCACATAAGATGCTAAGGCTTGTTGCCTTCTAACCACGTTTTTAACAACAACTCTTAGCGCTAAATTAAACATGTGTGATTTGACTGTGAGCCTCGTTGCTGTGAGGAGCCTAGTTAAAGTGCCAGGGAGCTAAATAAGTGTTGCCTCAATAACATAATAATAATAATAATAATAATAATAATAATAATAATTCTAATAATAATAATAATAAAAAGTGACATGACACCGTTGTCTCGGGTGGCGTTGTCTGGGTCCACATCCAAGGGCGAGGTTGTCATGGCAGCAGAAGTGCGCATGGAGTTTGTCTAGGTGTCATGCTATTAAGACACACACACACACACACACACACACACACACACACACACACACACACACACACACACACACACACACGTATATACACGTGGCTGTTGGAAATATTCTTGACTGCAGGATTATAAATAGAAAGCATCAGAAGACAGTCGCCCCCCGTGGGACTCCATCCTTCTCATCTTCGTCCTCCTCCTCTCCTCATCGGTGCCACTCCTCGTCGCTGACTCGAGCCCCTTCTACCCTCATCACCCCCGCCCCCCCGATCTCTGAAGTCTCATTGAGGGGGGCTCTGTTTGCCTTTGTTTATCTCCATAGCGATAGTGACGATGCTGGGTGTCGGTGGTCGTCATGGCGATGAGACGGGGATTGCAGGGGTGCTTAATGAGACTGGAGTTGCTCGGGCTAATGAGGTGGGACAGCGGTGGCTGGGTGTGTTCTTCGACTGCCACGACGGGCAAGCGGCTTGTTAAGGGTCCTTCCTTATTTCCTGCGTTTTCTGAGCCGTCTGGGCTCCTATAGAGCCTGTACCACGGCTGCCTTTACCACGGCTGCCTGTACCACGGCTGCCTGTACCACGGCTGCCTGTACCACGGCTGCCTGTACCACGGCTGCCTTTACCATGGCTGCCTTTACCACGGCTGCCAGTACCACAGGAGTTTGTCTAGGTGTTTGGAGTTTGGAGTTTGGAGTTTGTCTAGGTGTCATGCTATTACCATGGCTGCCTTTACCACGGCTGCCAGTACCACGGCTGCCTTTACCACGGCTGCAAGCTGCAACGAGCTGCACGGAGCCAGTGTTTGTCCGGTTGATCACATTTTGTTCATGCTGTCATGACAAGTGGGTTCGACGCTGTATTGGCAAGTTGAAAAAGGGCAGAAAATCTTTGAGCTAAAACGTCAACTCAGACAGAAGATCCCGCAATAAGAGACTTATTCCTCTGCAGCAATAAGTCTTTTGAAAAAGTAAATATTTCTGCTGACCGATTCTTTGTCAAGAAGTATCCTTCTTGGGATTCTTCTAATCTGAACCATACCTAAATAGAATTGTAAAGGTGTTTTAAGAAGTCCGGGTGTTGGACTGATGCTCCAGCTTTACTGTTCTTTGTAAGATGCGCACACCTCTAAATTACACAGAGAAGCCGTTTACTAGGAAATGAAAGGAAGTTGTAAGTTTTTCATGATGCAGTTGAAATGCAAATGTGCGATTTCTATTGTCATCCTTCTCCTTACTCATTCAAAAAAGGCCAGACTTGAGTGCATCAATAAGACTTGTTCTATCTCTTGAGGTTTCCACCTGAACTGTGGATATTTACAGTTCCTCTGAAGTCACAGTGGCTCCACTGACTAATGGCCTTTCGGCTCAGCTTGTGGGTTTAGGCGGAAAGCCGTGTTTATGCCACTCACCCCAAACGCTCTGTATTGTGCTCGGTTACTGGTGGGACTATCTGTGAAAACCTCTTCACTGCTTGAAAACTTATTGCCCCCAGTCACCAGAGCAGCTGCCAAATGACCTGTGTGTGTGTTTAAAATGGACTGTAGTAATATCTGAAAAGTGCAGAGAACTCTTTTCAACAGAGCAGGGACATCCCAAAGGATATTAGGTAAGATTGGCTCCTCGCCTGAGTGCACTTGCTTCAAAATAAATAGCACAGAAACGGCCGATCTCAAGGTGAATTTAAATTCCTCCACGGTGGAAAGAATTTGGTTTTGAAAAGGCAAAAAATAGAGTTTTATGATCGCATATTCACAATTGGTTTGGGATACGTGTGTGTAAGGGTTTTGTTTTTATTTCTTCAGATGGTGGAATGAAGAAGCTCCGCAGTACAATCCGAAGGAGCACAGAGACTGGCATAGCAGTGGAGATGAGGAACCGGGTGACACGGCAGGGCAGCAAAGACTCCACCGATGGCAGCACCAACTCCAACAGCTCCGAAGGAACGTATGTGTCCGAGGGGTGATCTCAACATGCGTCCATCTCCGATCGTCTGAAAGTCCATCGTAATCTCTGTTGTTCTCCTTTAGGTTTGTCTTTCCTACCACTCGCCTGGGGCCTGAGAGTCAGTTCAGTGACTTTCTTGATGGTCTTGGCCCTGCCCAGATTGTAGGACGGCAAACACTAGCCACACCCCCCATGGGTAAGGCTCTAGTAAAAACCATATTTTGCAGATGTCCACTGTGGTGGGTTGCACAAATGTTCTTCATGCAATATCTTTATAGTAATGGAGGCATAATCTTGTTTAGGAATGATGTTATGGAGCTGTTTCATTTGACTATGTTATTGGACTTAAATGATCCAGATATCTCTATCTTTTATTATTATTATTATTATTATTTTATTTATTTGTTTTTTTTAGAATTTTTGCATGGTGGAAGGAAGAGGCAGAGTAACCTGGTTCTGTTTTGGGTATATTTTAATTAGATAAATGTTTTATTATGAAGAAAGTTGACTTTAAACCCAGTTTAAAAAAGGTACTTCCTTATGTTACAGTTCTTTGGAAGAAATAGGTCTTGGTTAAATCTGCAGGTCAGAGATTGAATAAAATGTGAAATTTGACTTTTAAAACATGCCTTTTTTTCTCTTCTTGTTTTTTTGAAGACGCAACAGATTACATGTAAACAAATGCATGTTAATTTTTGCCATATTTGCAAATATGTATGTGCTTCTCTATACTCACAAATGTTTTTGATGTGAAAAACACACACACACACACACACACACACACACACACACCCACACACAACACCCCCACACCCCCCCCCCCCACACACACACACACACACACACACCCACACCACACACACACACACACACACACACACACACACACACACAGCAGGCTGCTCCCTCTAACTTGATGGTTAAAACAATCCACCAGGTCTTTGTCGCCCTCTACTGTTAAACCCGTCTTCTGCAGTTTTAAGATGACATTTTAATTCCATGTCTAAAGTGCATCCATTTATTTGCTACTGGTTTGTTCCCTCTCTTTAGGGGATGTCCATGTAGGCATGGTAGACAGAGGAGGGCAGCTGGAGGTGGAAGTGAACCAGGCCAGAGGGTTGACCCCAAAACCAGGCTCCAAGAACATACCAGGTACTGACGCCACCGGCTAAATGTGCAACAGGTGTCCATACAGAAGGCTCACCACAAATCATCTCTCTTAGCAACCTACGTGAAGGTGTATGTCCTGGAGAACGGCGTGTGCTTGGCCAAGAAGAAAACCAAAGTAGTAAAGAAGACTCTGGATCCCACCTACCAGCAGGCTTTGTTGTTTGATGAAAGTCCTCAGGGCAAAGTCCTGCAGGTAACTGGTCTCGAGTTTTCTGGGTGTCAACATTATCAGTACATTGTCATCAACTTATCATAACCAATCCATCTGTGTAAGATGCCTGATGAAGGATTTTTATTCTTTAATAACATATAACTCTTTGGACCATTATTTCAATGAAAGATATGCGGACATGAGGTTTACTTGCATCTATTTCCCATAGCTCTTGTGCACATGAAGATGTCACTGACACCAATTTGTTTTACCATTATTTCTCCTCCAGGTAATAGTGTGGGGGGATTACGGACGTATGGACCACAAGTGCTTCATGGGAATGGCTCAGATCCTCCTGGAGGACCTGGACCTGTCTGCCACCGTTGGCGGCTGGTACAAGCTGTTCCCTACCTCCTCTCTGGCAGACCCCAGCATCGGACCCCTCACCAGACGCCTCTCCCAGTCTTCCCTGGAGAGCGCCACCAGCCCCACATGCACCTAGACACCCAGCAGACGTCCCGCAGAGCGCAGACACCGGCACGCGTACTGTATATACACGACGACTGTACCTGAAGCGCGTCGCAGTTAGGCATACACCGCTCAGCGGCACGTCCCAGGTTCCATACGCATCGACGGCCACACTTTCCTCCATCGCCCATCACGACTCACCAGCCAAACCTAACCCGACGTAGACACAAGCGACGTGAACATGTAGCGATCGTCATTTCACCACAGCCACCACGCCAGGCGCCACGCCCCGCATTCCGAAGTCGTCAAACCTCCGCGGCGCGTCTCATCCCGGGGGCCATCCCGATCCAACCCAGTTTCTAATCTCTCTATGCCAAACTCAGAAAAAAAAACTTTATTTTTTAAAACCAAAGCAATTGTTATTGTTGTTCTTATTATTCCTATAAGTAGTAGGTGAAACTAGTATACAATATAAAGTATGGATATGTAGCAGAGTCGATGACTTAGATGTAATGCAAAAAAAAAGGAAAAAAAAAAAAGAAGATATATTCTACATACACACACAGAGAAGTTAAGAGCGGGATGTCAAACACACAGACCTGGCTCGGATGTTCACATAATGGCTGTTATGTGAGGTAGCAACACTGCTATATTCTATGATTTTCACAGGGCAGAGTTTATACATGAATATCTAAATATATACGAAATAGATAGCTAAATACTTATTTGTCTTTCTATATGTATCGGCTGCATTCTGCATGTTTGCTTGCGAGACATTTTGGAGTGCTTCAAAGTCTTTTTATTTAGCTTGCCTTGACCAACGTAAACAGTGCCGCTGCTTTTGTTTTGCCGATATGTCCCGACGAAAAGGAGCACCGAGTTAGAGCAAAGGACGCGACTGTCATCGCTGTTTGCAGAAGAAGAAAAATGAATTAGCCACACACTCGACTTTACAGTCCCTTCCTTCACCTTAGGTGTTTTTGAACCACTTCTGCACTGGGGTTGGGGTTTCGGGTGGAAGTGTTCCCACATGTTTGGACTGCCACTTCATTTCCTTTGTTCTGATGTCCTGAATTCTTCTTCCTGCTCAATGAGATGGGAAGCATCAGCAGCAGCCCTTTGCTTGCCATGGCCACTTGTTTGTCCCTCTGAACCTGCTGTAAATATGTATATAATTTCAGAGGACTTTTTTTTTCTCTTGTTTCTTTTTTTGGGACATTACAATAGCATTATAGGTGCAGCCACAAATATTAAAATAACATTGATAAGTAAATATATTTCCTCAGTTCAGTTCAGAGTGAAAGTCATATATTGTGTAAACATTTCTTTATCACACGTTTTCCTTCCACTAAACCTTTCATTAATATTCAGCTGACTTGACAGTTTTTCTCCAGTGTTAACCAAGATAGATTAGTTCTTAACATTATATTTCAGATATTAAATTAGGGACATTAATAACACTAAACATTTTTTTTAATTTATCTTTAAATGGAATAAATGAATTTATTTATTTTTGGATTTTCATTAGTTGTAAAGTATTACTGTCACAATTAATGTAATGAATCGACAGTATCCAATATATGATTTTCACTTTTGAAGTGAATTAATAAAAATCATAAACTTTTTGATGATATTCTTTTGATGATATTCTAATGTACTGGCACAAACATTTACTTTACTAGCACTTACAGTAACCAGCCTTGTTCTGGTAGTTGAACTTGTTTCAGGTGCAATGTGTTACTAACTCAACCTTCAGCATTCCGGTTTTGTATTTCCTGTTTGTCAGTATGTTTATGTTTTTTGGATAGCACTTTATTGTCAATATTTTGTGTTATTTTTCTATTTTAAGTCCAGGCGGTGGTGAACCACCTCTATTTTTCTGTATAATATGATGACAATTATTATTAGTAATATTATTATCAATGTTGTCACATAAGTACTGGAGTTTAAATACTCGGAAGTTCATTGCACATTTCTAAATCGTTGAATTTCAGAAGAGACATGAAACCAGAGTGTATTTTTTAATTGAAATTATGGAGACGCACTGGAGCGACTGAGACTGGTTCTGGTTTTAGACTTGCATCGAAGCACTTATCTATAATATTTAAGACCAAAATAATTTTTTTGTTCACCTTGGACTCTATAAAAAAAATTAAAAATTCAGTACATAACAAAAGTTAGAAGATTTGTCACTAAAGTCATCGACCCTAAAATTGCTTACATTTTTTATTTTTGCAAAAATATATTACATTTTATGCAACACAGTACTAGGCATGGGCCGGGATTAAAAACATAAAGAAAAATCGCATAATTAAATCATTCAAATTTTCTCACTGCATAACCATAAGTTTAGTTCTTTCTCTCTCCACTCTTTATAGACAAAAACAAGATATTATTGGAACAGCCTGTGTTGGCCGGATATGTTGCCCGTAGCTTTCTAAATGTCGTTTTCTATAGCATTACCAAAAAGAAATTAGATCATCAAATTTGTCTGTTCTGTAAATATGTAGCAGCCTCTTTCCAGCCATCTGACCAGCAGTGTGCAGCAAAAGGTGGGAGAGGGGCATAACTACATTACTCTTTGCTCCATATTGTAACAGAAAACTCTTATTTATTTTTTTTTTTTTAAGTAAGCATAGAAGCACAGTGGCTTCATTTCAGTCAGCTGACCTGGAGCACTAGGTGGGGGAGGGGCAGAGCTTTGCTACTCTGTGTTTCATTCATCCAGAAAAAAACTCTGGTACTCTCTCTGCCATCTCTTTAGAGCGACTCCAAACTGTGTAGACAATTTGAGGAATTAAACATTTTTTTCTGTGATTTTGAGTCACTTCCTGTTTAAAAACTCGTCATGCCTTGGTACCAGAAATCCACCTACCACCTCATACAACATCAAACTTTATGAATCGAGCAGATTTGGGGGAGGGAATGGGAAAATGGGACCTATCAGCTGTTCTAGTTGAGCGTGCAATGTTTGAGTTTTCACCATCACTTTGTCGTCACCAGAGTCACTTTATTGGCTTGTTATAATTAAAAAGATTCTTCAGTCAACCTTGTATATAGATGGATTTCACCTGAGCGTTAACATTGTTAACCTCTAAGGCCTGTATGTTGATAATTGTCATTTTTGTTCCGTTGTGGTCTGTTACCAAAGAGCTTCTTTTTCTATCATCTTTCACCTTAAAAGGGAAAAATTGATGAGCTGAGTCGTCTCAGCGCCTATTTTAGCCCTTTTTGAACTTCACATACATTTATCTCTGATATTTTCAGACCCCATGGATGTTTTAACCCTGCTAGTCATGTACTTACACCTCTATTTTAGAAGTAGCTTCAAATCAGGGCTCAATTTTCAAGCTGTTTCTTGTTAGATTGCAACTGGTTACGGTGCTGTTTTTAAGGTAATCTTCTGGATCTTACGTTGTTTGTATGTGATTTTCCAGGATAGCTGGCATGATGTACAAAACGTATGTGAGTACTCTCCATCTGCACACATGCTTTGAGTGTGACGAAGAAAACCACACCTACAACTGATCTCTCTCTTCCTTATTTATATTTATGAAGGTCATATTTTTTGCAGTAATTCCATGATTTAGATATGTGTCGAAGTGTTGCTCTGCCATGCCAACTGATTGAAAGCAACTATGGGTTTTGTAAATGTCTGTCAAAACAGCAAACAATGGATATCTGCAACCAAAGGAAATGGTTAGCGTGTGCCCTTCCTCTCCAGGCAAATGTTGCAGATTTGCAACAGCTAAACGCTACTTAGATAGTCTTTGCAAGTAATTTGAGCCTGAGAGGGTTAAAGCGCAGCATCTTTGCATAAGCTTTATTGAACAAGTGTATTAGATGCACTGCGTATTGCATCGTGTGTGGCGGTCCGGTGAGTGACTTTATCTAGATGATGACTTGTTAGAAATCTGACGAGGAGGTTTCTCCAAACTTTTCGCAGCTTTCATGGTCCACTTACCAGAGATTTTAAACTGTGTAATACAGATTTCTAATTCAAACGTGAAAAGACGATGTGAGCATATATAAATGAATTCATTGCAAAAAAAACAACTATTCAAAGCAATTTGACACCAAGCACAAAAGTAAGTTTAAATCTAATAAAAAACAGTTTTTTTACTTCCAATTTTTTTTTTTTTATGTGACGAAAAAAAAGCTAAATTGGGGGAAATTACCTTTTCATAGCACTGTACTTTCTTTAAAAAGTGTCGGTGAACCCTGGGGGAGTTTTGTGGAGCTAAAATCTAGAAAGGCCTTTCAGTTTGCTGTAGAGGTCGAGTCATAGAGGGAAGCGCGTCGCTCTCGGTACGTTTTCGTTCCTCTGGCTTGAATTTCACATTGATTGTACATCCGTGGATGTTCAGAATGTCAGATCCACTTGCTTCATGTGCATATAAGCGTGTCATGCTCATCTTCTCCCGTGTCGAGTGCTGCGTTTAAAACTTATTTTATTTTTGTAAGGACAGTGATTTTATTGAGAGCAGGAGTTGGAAAGGCGAGGTCGGGCAAAACCTGCCTTTAGGTTTTTGCAAAACAAAAAGACAAAAAAAAAAATCGAGGGCTTGATCAGTTTACAATGGCCTTATTTTGTGTGGGAGATGTTGCTTTGCTGTTGTAGCACACACAACTGAAAGTTTTTTGTAAAAAGAAAAAATATATATATATAATTAAATAAATAAAAAAGTATTTTGCTTGAAATAATGTACCGAAGTTCTATATGTGTATAGTTTTATGAATGTATTTCTAATTTGTGCACTTTTTTTGTCATCCTGTTTGCTATATTCTTTATCCGAAGAACTTTACAGCCCCCTCTCATCTACTGTACTGTATTATGTATGTCTTATTATTTGTATCACGAGAAAGGAGCATGAATTCTGTCTGGCAAAAGGCATTTTGATTCATATAAGTCGCCACAATGACTGTTGAGCTGAAACGATTGCTCCCCTTACACCCTCTGCATTCCTGTCCCTGCAATGTCCCCACTTTATCAAAGTCATACTTTTGAATGAGGTGATGTATGCTGCACGGTGTTTATGACAGTTTCTTTTTGTTCTTTTTTTGGTCTGATTCTGCAAGGCGCAGTGAAGGGGTTTCCATTAGGCAACTCGCACATATGCAAGAGAGTTGTCTAAATGCTGCACCTTGACGTAGCAAGGCTTCGGCCTGATGTTTTCCTCGACTCGTCTTCAGGCAATAACCATTTAGCTGTAGCCTGTTCCTCAGTTATCAGAACTGGTCGTGCGGTTACTACGCCACCACGAATAAAATACATTTGAACCACTTTCCGAGCACTAAAAGTTAAGTATACTCAACCTAGCATGCTCTGCATTGTGAATACACGTTAGGAAGACTTTTGTGAAAAACGAGGTTCGTTTTGTCTTCGAGCAAAGTACGCATTGCACGTACTGCTGACACCTAATGGCACCACTGGTGAAGATGTGGTAAAATGACTCAATTCATTAAAATCCTGTTAAATGGCAGACGCAAGATGCCACAGTAGACATTTTTAAGCTGGTCAGAGTCTCGAGGAACCTGTAGTTAGTAGTCTCTGTCGTCATGGGGTATAAATATCCCAGGACACTGAGGCCATTTCCTAGTATAACCAATAGGTTTGATAAGAATGTAAAGAAAGCGAAACTTCCACAAGGAATTGCATTTTGGGGTCAAAAAGCCTCCATATTAGCGACAAAGTCTTGTCTTTCCCACCAACACATTCATAAACTCGTGTAGTTTGTGTTCACGCTCATATTTTTGTCATTTCGTAATTATTTTATTTTGAACTCTTCCAAATGACAGGTATTTCGCACATCTTCAGCAGGAGTCCTATTATGTGTGGAAAGTGCCTGAGTAGCAAATATCAACATGAACAGGACAGACATCACCGCTGAGCTTTTTTTTTTTTTTTGGGCAAGTTTAAGAGTTTGTGCTGGATCCTTTTCATCTGTTGTCTATAACCATCAGCTATCATAGCACAAGCTTTACTAGTCACATTTTCTCATTTTTTTTTCTTTATCTGTCAGGCTATTACAAGGCCCAGGTGCCTCTCAGCCTCTTCATCTCGCCAAGCCCCTAAAAGCACAGAACGCAACCTGAACTTACAGCTCCAAGAGTCAAAATTACACCCGTGTTCAGATTTATTTTTGCCGGAATCTGTACTATTCCTAGCAGATCTAGATGTAAAACATATAAAGATTGAACAACTCTTTTGTGGTTGTCTTCAGGTTCCCGTCCTGAGGAGTGCTGGCAGCGCAACAGGGCCGCAATGACGTGTGTGATGAGGGTTTGCGGTTGAGAGGAACAAAAAAAAGGGAGCTGTAATTTTATACCTGTGCTTTGTAAATGTTTTCTATGTGCAGTATTTGATAATGTAAAACTGGTATTTTTGTGGTTTGTACGCTGCAAAATTGATTACTTAAGGTGCACGTAGTTTTGTAATAAAAAAAAGGAAAAAAAAAAAAAAACAATAGAGCCAAACTGAGGGGGAAAAAACTGAAAACAATTTGGGATTCTGTAGCCTGTACTTGCATGCCCTTTGACATCTGGACGCTGAAATAAATAAAGTTCATTTGAATCACTGTTTGTGTAAGTCATTGCTGCGGAGATTGTTGTCGGCGTTTCTGGTCACCAGAGGGCAGCAAAAACACCACAACAAGTTTGTGGTCATAATGTTTCTTTTGCAAAATATGATTTCATTTTATGCATGTTTTCTTTACGCAAAAGTTTAAGGAACCTATTTTGAAAAGAGAATTTATTTAGGCAATGTTATTTTTCTCTCAACAGCAGGGACAATATGTTTTTAATCAAACTTTTATTGATTGATTTTATAAAGACGTAAAACTAAAGGAGGCAAAGCATGTGAAAAAAAATGCGGAGCTGATATACAGAACGTCTCCATCGATCTTGTTTATGAATGTAACGTACAGATATCCTAATAAAGAATGAAACCTCACTACATATTGACATGACTAAAAGGTACATTCCTTCATTTTCTTTCATTTCCCAGCAAATGTAACAGAGACAAAAGATAAAGGACTGGAACCAAAGGAACGTTTTCCATCAGTCCTTAGCGTTCTCCAACAAAATTCAATATTACAGTGTACAATCTTAGCAGATAAATGTCGGTTTCTGCTGATGCAGCAATTTTAGTCACGTGGCCCCCAAATTTAGCCCAACTGGAAAAAAAAAAAAAGAGAGAGTAAAGAATATAGCTTTGAAGAACAGAGCTGTGAAAGTTGCAGTGTGTGCAGATATTACTGTGAGCCTCTCACTTTAGGCATCAAAAGCAGTGACTTAAGAACCAAAACCGGTTAAACAGATGATAACCAAGTTTGGAAAAACCGAGAGTTTTCAGCAAAGGTGTCATGCATTTCAAAGGAAGAGCGACTGCAAACGGCAGAGACGGAGACGAGGTCCTCTGATGTTTTTGTGAGGTGATAGATTTGTGTATGCACATTCTCTTTTCCACTTCACATTGTACGTTGGCCAGACTGTAAGTGTTCCTGAATCACCTGGGAAACAACAACAACAAAAAGACTAAATCAGTCTGATCACAGTTTGCTCCCAACATGGCGGCCAAATGACGACGCAACAGAACCTGACGGAAAGGCATTCCACTACAGGACATTCGAAAGACAAGTGCGCACCGTTGGACGCATTCGAATCATAATAAAATGAAAAAATAAAATAAAAACCACAACAATGGCAGCAATAGTCAAGTCTGTATACCCATTACAATCAGGAGAACATTCATGACACACATTCATTGATAGTTTTGTTAGTCTTGGTCACAGACTGATTAGAATATACAGTAGATAGAAACATCTGGTAATCTGAAAACATACAGTACGCACAGTCGATGGTGGGTAAGCATTCATTTCATGCAGTTCTGTGGAAGTATCTGAAACGTGACTGATAATCACCCCCTCCTTGGTTTCACGCTCGCTTTCGGGACATTCAACGTTGTTTGAGGCCACGATTGTACAAGGTGGACAGTCGGCTTAAGGTGTTTGAGCAGTTACAGGACGACAAAAACATGCGATCTTTTGAGAGCGTCCCACCCTTTCTGAGGCAATAGCACAGTGAAGTGTAACAGCAGGTATTCCCGAAGACACAGCTCAAATGCTGCGGTCATTTTCATACTAGTCACTAGCTAGGTGGCAATTTGAGAAAAGAAAAAAAAAAATAAAATACTGTACAGTTTTAGTAAAGCTAGTGCTAATCTTTGGTCTGCAAAAATCCAGTATAGGACTTTTTTTCTTTTTTTTTTTGACACTTTATTAATAATTTAAATGAAGCCCTCAGTATTTTGAAAAGCCGACATCATATAGAAATGTTTAGGTAGGCTTTGTTGCAGTTCTAGGTTTCAAAACAACATTGCTCTAGGAACTCAGATGCTTAAAGGGATTTTCTTTTTAGCAAAAAAATATATATATTTTCACTTGGGACTCTTTTTCTTTTATTCCTTTTACAGAAGCAAAAGAAATAAAGAGCATTAAAGCCATCCAGATGATTTTAAACTCTTGGGAAATCATGTAATTGCTCAAATATAGCTCATTTTAGCATAGGCTACTACTGGAAAAGGAAAAATTGGCCTAGCCTGCTTTAAGTCACGGAAGGACATTGGAAACGAGATTAGAAAATACACTTTAAATAGGACTTTCTCCTCAAAATGAGTGGCCACGAGCCACCACATTCTAGTTGTTTATTTCACTGCATTGTGCATGTCAACAGATATATTGAGTGAATTTTAGCGGCACACTGGCACAAAGCTTGGTTCAGCTCAGTTTTAGAAGAATGTACTTTATACGTGACACTTTGCTCAAAACATTTGGCAATTTGTGGTAAACTGGACATCATAATATTCTTTACTTGCCATTTGTTTAAGAGAGGACATATGCCAAACATTTGGAAAATCTGTTTCTTTTGTTTGTTTTTTTTTTCGATCCTATGCACAAAAAAAGGAGAAACCCTAAACGCATTTTGATATCCTAATCCTAAAAAAGGATCAGCATCGTTTGTTTTGTCGTTACTTTTAGCTGATCAGATAAAACAGTTAGCAGCAGTTTCTTTCACTATTGACAAAAAGTCATTTGTGACCGTTTGGACATATTATTATTTATTTGTTATCCTGCACACTAAAGAAAAAAAAAGCAAAATTTTAGTATCCTAATGGAAAGGGAGGATTAGCCTAGCATATTTTAGCTTTATTTCTGTCTGTTCCTATAAAACATATTCCATTTCTCTTCTATGGATAATATTCTGTAATTGAAATGAGCTTTTCAGTCGTCTGTGCTATTCTGGAAGTTACGTGAATATATTGCGTGGCCTTATGCACCTAAAAACACATTTTGAGCAAACCTTAGCATACTGCTAAAAAAAGGAAATTAGCTTCATTATTTTACATGGATTTTCAGGTAGAGTAATTCTTCTACTTGCCAGAAAGCATACATTAAATGGACATGGGTTTCCATCAGAGTGATTTGTGATAGTTTACAAATCTCGACTAAGAATATTTTTGCTAGCTACAAGAATGGGAAAAATTAGCCTAGCTTGAATTAGCTTGTTTAACCATTCACAATACGGTGGATGTTACATCGCTGTTTATTTGATTCCTCAAATGCCATTGGAGAAGGGAAATTAGCCTTGTCAGTTTTTGTTATTTTATGTGTTTATAACGGTTTACTAACACCTGTAAAAAATGTACTTTAAGCTGGATTCTGCACTCAGTTTTAGTATTGATAACAAACCGTTTGCTATTGTAGCCACTGCTTTGGTTCATGCCGATATGCAGCAGCTGTCCTTTTGCATGAGCTTGCATCAGGAAACCCTGACGGTGCATAGATTACAAACAAATTCCATAAGATGCCTAATATTTTCTTCGTCTTGTCTCAATAAATTTGACTTTTAGGATAGGCAAATCTCTGTGCTCAACCTCAGGGTAATTAAAAAAAAAAAAAAAGAATTTTTTCAAAAGCAAAAGCAGCTTCTTCACACCTACTGAATACACATGTGGGGATATGGAGATATTCTCAGATAACGATTAGATACAAATAAATATGTGAATGCCTAAGCAATGATCTCCGAACCCTGTTGTCTTGGTACCAAAATGTCCTGAAGGCAAACATGGAAATTTGCAGAACATGGCTATGAATGGGACAGCGAGAGGAGGCTTAGGTAGAGAGGAGAGAGAGAGAAAGAGGTAGTAATCAATTTCCAAAATCTTCTTGACGCCCGTCTTCTCCTCCTCCTGTTGTCTTGGGTTTCACAATGTTTCACGTTGTTCCCAATCCGTCCGTTGCTCTCATCTTGAAGATGGTCCTTCAGCTTTTAGGTGTATAAAATCACTTCCAGACGTGGGTCGTCATGTGTGCCGAGCTCGGAGCTGCTGAGCTTCCTGTGTGTTGGCTCCCGTATCCTGCCATGCCGTTGGTGCTGTAGAGATTCATGCCAGCTACTTGCTGAGTCATCTAAAAGAAAGCGAAACGCACTTTAGAAACGACGAGGATTTTTACATTTTGTTTTCCTACTGAAAACGCTCCAAAACGATTACACACACCTGAGCCATGTTCCACTGAAGCTGCTGGCCTTGTTGCACTCCGTACATTTGCTGGTGAGGTAACGGGGCCATGCCTCCAACCTGCTGCTGTCCCATCATCCCACTCTGCTGCGGAGCCAACACTCCACTCTGCTGCTGTCCCATCATTCCCTGGCCCATTCCTGTCATGTAAGGTGTTGACACGACGCCGCTCTGCTGAGCCATGACACCCTGACCACCCATCAATCCGTTCTGCTGCCCCATCATGCAATTCTGCTGGGCTCCGATCATGCTGTTCTGGTGAACCCCCATTAAACCACTCTGCTGCTGACCCATCATGGCCATTTGTGACGTCATCATGGCTCCTCCCATCCCCCCAACCTGGGCTAAAGAATGGAACGGGCCGTAAGGATGTGTCGGGAATCCCATTCTGTTCATATATAAGCCTGCTGAAAACAAACAGAAAGGACAAACAATTCTCATTAAAATAAGCTAACTATGAAGGTATTACAAGACCTGAGGGAAATCTATGTAGATCTCACCGTGTGTGGCCATACCACTGGCGTGCAGCGAAGGCGTGGAGGCGTAGAGAGACAGTATGGAGTCCTTGGACAGCTTCTTGACGGCGCCTTCCTCTGCTTTGGGTTTTGGATCCATGAACAAACTGAGGTTTTCAGGCACTGAGGCGGTCACTCTGCTTTGAGGCAAGGAGCTGGACGCAGGCTGGACAGAGAGAAAAGCCATCAGAATGCACAAGTGCAAAATAGAAGAACTGACATTGGGAACTCCGCAATGCAGAAACATTAATGTATTGCATTTTTTTTATTTGATTTTAGCACAAACCTTAGATAGACCGAGCACACAACCAACTTAATAGGTAAAAAAAGAAAAGAAAAAAAAAGTTGATTTTTAATTGATGAACGTTTTCCAATATTACTCGAAAGTCCACATTTGAAATCGGAATAATGGTCAAGTTCTGTTAGTGGGATGGTTGTCAAATTCCAGTGGAGGTTTATGAGAACTGATTATGCATATCATGGAAGCATAATAATAACAATAATAATAATAATCAAAACCTCTGACATTAACTGCTCTGCCAGGTAAAAGTTAATTAAGAAATTAGAATACAAATCTAGACATTTACTTCTTCAACAGTAAATGCTTGTTTCATATTGAACACAGATAATATTCACGAATCCCCCAACAATCAAACTGAGGAACTTTTCACTTTGACTGCATAATAATTACAGATTTTCATTATAATGTGTCATTACACTGAAAAAGTTCTGTTCAATTTAATTATGGATGTGGTAGACAATAAAGATGTTTAAATCTGTGCATTACTAAATATGCCTTTATTAATAAAACACATTTAAACTGGCTTGGCTCATATTGTCCTCTTGTTTTCAATAAGGTGGATCTATTTCAGAGCTCTTTCTTCACTTTGCACATTGAATTTAGAAAAACAATTGTATGTAAATAAAATACAGCGCAAAAGAAAAGTTAAAAAAAATAAGGTATGTACCCTTCAATTTGATCTCTTCAACATGTGGGGAAATGTGGAAAAACCTTACTTTTTTTTTTTTAAATAACAAAAACTTCACATGTGTGTTGAGTTAGTAAATTATCTGCATGCTGCAAAAATATAGCATGGAGTTTGGCAGAGAGTGTTTTTAAGCTACCGTAGTTTTCGTAGAGGACACTGAGGATGGGACTGGAAGAGAACCAAAGAGATCCAGAGCAGATTGTGCCTGAGCTGGATTAGAGGCGGCCGGGCTCTCGTTACCGTCTGGAACACATCCTCCACCATTAGACACCGCAGGACTGGGAGTAGGTGCATCTAATGGAGGGCAGATGGAAAAAGGGAGAGCGTTATAGCTCCTCAAGATACGAGTCAGCCGTTTTTAAATCAATTTATCCCATAAAACGTTCATTTTAAACCTCAAAGTGGTGATCATTTTTGCCTAAGAGAGCCCTCCGGTTGAAAGAGAAGCATATGCAGAGCGGCGTGGGAAGTCCACTGTACACACTGTAAAGCGTGAGTGCAGGTGAGGAAGTTCAAAAGATACAATACCGAGTCCAAGTAGATCTGTGACGGCCTGGGAGTTTGTCTTCGGGCTCACATCTTTTTTCTAAGAAAATCAATACAATCAATGGAGCATTATTGCTAATTGAGAAATGGGCATGAATCCAATGGTCTTCTCAGTCAATGACCCTCTCGCTCAATGCAGACTTAGAACTGGTCCGCTTTAAAGAACTTTGCTCATTTTACCTTTCGTCTGACTACACTTAACTATGCTGCACTTAAAATGTTCAAAAATAATAATAGAAAAGCAAAACCTACCAGTTTCATTTTCTCAAACACAACAGGCTCCTTCGGGATGTTGTCGCAACTTTTTTCTTTCTGTGAACAGAAAACACATTTGGACAAGATGTTTAGCAGAGTTCTTTATCGTGAAGATTCGGCCTGAGGCAAAAGTCCAATTCATTTTCTTTGCTTGGCTCACCCTGAGCATCTGGATGTCAATAACCTTATCCATATACTTCTTTTTCTCATACTTGTCCCTGATGAAGATCTCTGCAGCCTGGTCTGTCTCAGGCCTCTGGAAGCATTCAGGTAAAAAGGCCTCGTAGAGACGCTTGGCCTTGGCGTTTCCCATCTCTTGAACGCACTGGGGTCGCCAGAGCACAACAAACACAATTACTGGATTGGATCAAACAGAACAGCAGAATTTTCAAGGTCTTGACTCACTTATGTAGAGATACTAATGGCGAGCGGAGCCAACAGAGTATTCGAGCTGGCTTAGGCCCCGGCTATCCCACCCAAGACATATTTTGTTTGATTAAAACAAAAATAACTAAATAAAAAAATCTCTATTTACATGGTTTTTGGCAATCCAATTAAAAAATGTTAAAAATACCTATGATGCCATTAGGTTACATTAAAAAACCTCAAAATAAGAAGATGCTAACCATGCCTGAAAGAGCATGGTTAGCATGGTTTGTCTCTTTTGAAAGAGACAAAAGCTATTTTATTGATCTTCAAAGCAAGCTATGACATGACTATGCTTGTGTATTTTGAAGCCTTTGGTAATCTATCACTTTAGCATACGGAGAGTTCGGGCCTCTGACCTGGACCTGCTCCTGTGTCCACTGATCCAAGTTGACAGACTTGACCTTTGAGATGTGGACCCCAAGGTTTCGATGAATCCCAGCGCAGCGGATGCAAATGAAGATGCCTAAATTCCAGGAAGCCCATCTTGGACCTGGGACAGACGGAGGAAGAGGATGAAGAACACAGAGCATCGTCTCCAGGAGAGAGGGTAATGAGTCTATCTAGTGGGATAGCAGAGTGCTAGATCGTGTGGGAGTGAGTTCAATAATACATGCCGAGTCTGAAAGCTCAATTATGAGTTTGAATTCAGCAGGGAACACAACAAGTAATCTTCTGCAAGTCATCTGGTTTGCTAATACACAACAGCATTGAATAGATGCGCTTGTCTGCATGACTGAGAAGACAGGGAGAGCACAAAAAACAAATAGCACACACACATAAACACTCTACGTCTGGATACCTGCAGGGATGATTACTCATTTGGTCATGAGCCTGCATGTGTGGGAGCAATGTTATCTGAACACGGCATTATGTTCACAACACTGCCATATGCATCTAAACGGATCCATCTGATGTTTAAACCACCCTATTTGTGCTGCATACACGTGTAGAAGATGTCACTCCAGGTTTGGTGTTTCCACTTCAATTTTGGTAATTACATTTTATTTGTATCTATATATTTTTGTCGCAAGCTTTACATTTTTCTATTCTATTGTACTCTTAATGCCTTTAATATACTTTCACACCTACTTTTCATGACAGTGACCACATAAGGACACTTTACAAGGCAATAAAGTTACGGAGCAAAAATGACAAAATAAACCAGGAAAATGTGACTATAGAGAGCATGCTACCTATAGCAGGAGGAGTTTTGAGTCTGGATCTGAACAGAGGGAGAGAATCAATATTTGGACTGTCTGGTGGGAGTGAATGCCTGAGTCGGGCAGCGTAGGAGCTGAAAGCTCTGCTCCCCGGGGTGCTAAGGTGGGTGCAGGGTGTAGCGAGTCGGGAAGTCTGTGGATGGTGTTGAACGTGTGCACAACGAGATTTATGCCTGTTGTGAATTTAATGCGCAGTGCAATTGCTGTAAAACTTTAATGACATGGTGATAAAATGAAGCTGCATTCCTCGACCATTTGAAGCTTATGGAGACATTTTGAGAGAGACCACAGAAGAGAGAGTTACTATAGTCGATAGGTGTTGTGATGAGGACAGATAAAAATAAAGAGCGGCAGACAAAATGCGAAAATAGAAATTCCATTTGGCTGTAACAGATGGCACTCAAACTCTTGACCTGGGGAGAAGGTCAAGAGTTCAACAGTTCATCGGGATGGAAGAACTGGCCACTTTAATAAATTTAGATTCAGTTCCAAAAAGAATAACTTCTGTTTAATCACAGTCTGATCTCAGAAAGTCGGACCAAGACTTTAAACCAAGACTTTATTTCAGATAAGCGGGTAATGTGAACGGAGAAGGAGAGAAATTGATTTATTTCAATAGAAAAGTGGAGATGGGTGTTATCAGGAAAAATAACATCAAACTGGATGAAAATATCTTTCATGACACATAGGGAAGTGATAGAGAAAAGGGTGACCTACAGGAAATGTGGAAAAGGTCAGATCTGAGTTCAGAGTGAAATCAGCCAAGAGGGACATTTAAGATGCCAATTTAGAACAAAATCTATTCAGAAAATGGCATGATAAATTGTATTAAAGGCTGCCCTCTGACCAAGGAGGATGAAAAATAATGATGAGTCATGAGTAGATCCTCTTTTTAGCTTTTATCATGAATTGATGTGTGATTTACGGCTGCATCTAACGATTGTTTTAGTAATCTAACTACTCTCTCGATTATTCTGATGATTCATCGATTAATCAGATATATGAATGACACATTTTGTAGATGTTTTATTTAACCACTTAAGCTTTTTTCCATAAAGAGCCTGTGTACTCCAGTTAATTATTTAAAAAATTACTAAATTAGTTGATGATTATTTCAATAATCGATTAATTGCATAAAAATTGTATTAATCATTTCAGCCCTGGTGTATTTTTTATTTATTCTCCAATTTTTTCTGATCTTGTGGTTAAGATTGACACATATTTTTGTTCTCTTCTAAAAAAAGAGAAACATGTACACAATTTCCATTATTTGACACAGTTTATGTCTGTCTCTGATCTTTTCTCACTACAGCCTGAACAACGCTTTCTTCCAGTTCTCCAGTATTTATCATCATTCCTTTGGAATTAAGCATTTTCAATATTCATTGCTTCCTGTGCTCCATAAATAAAGCCTGATAGGTTGAATTTTGACTTACACCCTACAAGTCGATGCACTGTGGCCCCTTCCCACTAGGTGGCGGAACAGCTTTGGGTTTGGATCCTTACCTATTGTCAAATGAGAAGTCACTGTGCAGAGTGGAGGAAAGGGCCATTCTATGCAAATGAAAGTAGATGCTGATTTTCAGGATGAAAATCCTGCAAAGCCTTCCTCTTTGTGGGAGCCGCGGAAACCTAGTGTCAGGGTCCAGGAATAGCCTTTTGTCTCCACCGCAAGAGGGCTACAATATTCTTTTACTGAGACTAATCAGGTGAATCACTTTGAATGTTTAACATCAGCACAGAGAGGAAACCAGTAAATGCAAACCACAGGATCATCAGCTGGACAGCCTATCTGTCAGCCTGACAGCGAAGCTGCAGCATTAGCTCTCATGCCGTCTAATAATAGTAGAATTACTCCGCAAAGCCTGCTTAACCACTGTAAACACTGGCACTGACACAGAGGCACTGTCAATTGTATTGAGCTTCCTGTAAGAGAGCAATTTGGTAATCCTCCATTCTTGTTCACAACCCCCTCAGTTTCTGGCCACTGCTTTATCTTATTTTTATCACATTTATTCTCCGCTGCCTCTTCGTACATAAACTTCTCTCTCACACAATCAAATTGATGATTTTCTATAAATATCTGCACCCTTTTTCTTCCCCCCCACCCCCGAGTTGTACTCATATTCTGTTTTGTTTTGAAAATTACAACATTTTCCAAAATTGCCGTAGCCATTGTGTCTTAAGCAGTAACAGTGATATCATCCTGGACTGTCCAAAAAACACTGCTGACGATTATGTGTTCGGACTTATGCAATAAGCAGGAGGAGAGCGTTAAATTAAGAAGTATTCTCCAGGAGAGATTTAGCTAGAATGTATACGATCGCAGAAAAGTTTGCAGCAAACTGAAGATGGCACATGACTACTGAACTCTGGACGATGGTGTCAACATCTTGTGGCATTTTATCTTGGAATGCTAAAAGATCTTGATATTTTGGGTCTACCTACAGTGCGTGTATCTTACAATGCACAAAAGGGAGTAGTTCTTGAACTGGATCCTCCTGTGGACAGAGAGGTCTGACATGTGTCAGTTTGACCGTTCGCTAACTAGACTATCTCAAACTGCCACCCTTGACACAATGAAACGTTGCCATTTTCACTCAAGGCGACATGCATATCACATCGCTTTGTCATGTTTGTCAAATCTGTTTCTCAGCAGATATCGCTCTAATTAGACTTGGGTCGGGTGGGCCCGACACAGTTGTTCTGGATAAGAAAAAGAAACAAAAAACAAAATAGATTACAAGCTAACAGTTTTATTGTGAAGCTTGCAAACTGCCTTTGTGTCAGCGTGCTACAGTGACAGAGTAAACAGTTTTTATTTGTAGCATAAAACCTTGTTGTTTTCAGTCAAGGTTAGGGTATGCTAGCATGTTGATGAATGCTTATATGAATTTGCTAACGGCTAGCACAGCTACTACATTTGTATTTTTGGAACTGTAGCCTGATGGATGTTATGATTTGTACTTCAAGTATTTACAATAATCAATAGAGGATTTAAAGAAAAGAAACAACCACAAACATTTTAAAGTGAACTATGGCCACACACAGGGTTGCAGCACCTGTTTTAGCTCGAATCAGTGCAGTGGTTGAGTAAGAACTCATGATAAAGTATGTTCAGCAAACACACACCTCCAGGTACTTTTAACAGCTACGGCTGAAAGAGTGTAGGAGGAGCAGATATCTAAAAAAAGGAAGGAGAGACTGAGCAAACGCTTCAAAAGGAGCAAAGCGGCGATGCTGAGCGCGCGGCAGTTTTCTGTATATGCAAAGGTCATGAATACTGGAGTGGTGAAGATGTGACAATTAAATTAAATGCGACTAAAGTTCTGAAAAGGTGAGGTGTCCAAAAGCAGAGATGGTTTGAAGTTGCTGGTGGATGAATCATCCTGGCAAAAATTTAAAAAAAGTGAATGTGGTCGTGTGTGTCAAACATCTAAACTCGAGCACACGAGTAGCGGAGAAGGTGAAGGCAAACAGGACAAGATTATCTTAGTCATCAAACGGTGGACTTTGGCTGTTTGATGATGTGCCTGAATGTGTACAGGGAGTTTGGACCAAAGTGAACACAAACCGAGATTAAAAATCAAAGCCACGTCACAACAAGTTCTAAATAATTCAATTTTGTGAGCAGCCATGTTGGGAATATGTGCCCCTCCAACCCCCCCCCCCCCCCTGATCCTTCGGCTAGTTTCTATTTAAAATACAGACTAGATAATGAGATCTTTAAATGTTTTATGCTGTTCTGAGTGTGCTTTAGAAAGTACCTTTGGACACACATCATTTAGCTTGCAGGTAAACTGCTCGAGCAGGTGCACATACCTCATTAGCCTACATCCCACAAGGATAAATGGTGCTCTCTGCAAGCACCGAGTTAATCCTGCAGAGCCTCGGTTATCAGGGAGTAGAGCACCCTCCTTCTCTTCCTCCTCCTCCTCCTCCTCCTCCTCATTCCCTTTCTTCTCCTTCGCCTCCGTGCAAACATAGACGCGCTTGTTTCATCCTCATGTCCTCTAGCGTGAAACCCCAACCGGAAACCCTTAAGCCATCCTTCAACCCGATCTCAATCTGAGCAAGGCAGATGGGCTCGCATTTAAAATTGACCAACTCACACCCACCATCTGTGTTAAGTTTTGTTATTGTGTCTGAACAGGGCTACACTCAACGACGCAAGAAAAATACCCACTAGCTTGTTTTATTCTAAAATCTCTTCTGGTTTTCATCCAACTGGTTGTAAATAGCACATGAGAACTGATTTTAAGTGCAATAA